GAAGCGGAACACTGTGCTCTGCTCAGTTATCAGTGCTCGAATCAAACAGGATCAGCTTTATGAGCTTTATCTAATGCATCAATTGCTCTGCAAACTGAAAATTTGACTCTGCAATTGCTTACTCTTACTTCAACAGTGCTGTGCGATAATAATGCTCAATATTTGACAGCAACTGCAATAAATATGATTATGAGAGCAGTACTGCTCTCATAAGCACTATCTTTTCGTAAGAATAACAGAAGAATGATAGTATCATTAGCGTTATTATCGTGATAGTGATATACGCACGCAAGTGTCAATTATAGTACAGTACATTATATTATTGCAGAGAGTTTATTTCTGATAAATACTCAATGCTATTTTGTATGTAAATATCAATATGTAAGCGATCACAATTCTCAAACAGATAATATGCAAATTTTGCAATAATCTTCCATAAATCATTTGAAGAAAATGGACTGAGAGATAATGCATGGCGCAGTATTGTGCTTAAACAAATAGTAAATGGTAAAAGAAGGAATAATTAGTAGCTAAAATACGTGTTAGAAGTAACGAGCTGCTGACTTAGTCTAGACAATACGGAAACAAGCTTATCTTAGCATTCAATCTGCCAAGTTATGCAAGCTATGACTAGGATATCTCAAGCAGACACAAATAAACTCCCGATGAGTCATCTCAAGATGATCGATGAGAAGTGCTGCACTCAATGCCAGTGTGAATATCGTCAAAATGCAATTATAAATTTAATCACTCGTGCAGAATCTATTTATTACGTGCAATCAATTTTGGCAGATTCAGTCTTGCTAGTAATTGGCTTAATATCAACATGTCTAACACAGAATACTAACATTTGTTATACTTATCAGCGCTGAAATTAGCTAAAAGTAACGACAAAAGGCTAGTACTCCAGATTTTAGATTAATTACACACTTTAATTGTTAATTTTAGCTAAATTTTTTATTGCTAAAAGTAGTATTAATTTAGAGCAAAGATAGAAAGGTCGCAACGTGGGCAGTGCGGAGGAGAAATAACCTTTTATGACTTATTTTTAATTTGCTTTATTTCTTCTCGCAAATTAATTTTTTTGGCTTGTTTGGCAATAAAAACACGCAATCGCAACTGGCAATGAAATAAGTAAAAATGGAATTTGTGTCATACTCTACTCTCATCCCCTTTGAACTTTGAACTTTTGCTGTTTTTACCGTGAAAGGCAATCAATATTGCGAGTAATTATAAAATTGTATTTTATACTTCATTAAGGCTAGACGAAAAAGAATGTTTTTAAAATTATTACAAAGCAGCGAGCAAAAATATGTTGTAATATAATGTTTGATTTTTATTCTCTGCAAAATGAAATAATAATAAAATTATGCAGGTCAATCGAGTAGTGAGCGTAAATAAGTTAACACTGCTTTTATCTTATCATTATAGTTATTATAACCAGCAATTTCAGATTTTCTATCATCCGTACAAAATTGTTATCAGTAATTGTAATTGGTACAATTACAGTAATTACCATTCTCATCAATTTCTTATTGCAGTAGCAATGCTGAAAGAATTATAACCATAAAGAAAATTGTGTTAATCAAAGTCAAGTTAATTAATTTCTAAGTAATGTTAGAGGAACCTGAAACAAAAACTTAAACTTTAACAAATTTGAATTTTTTTCGAAAAGAACTGAAAAAAGAACTTCTAAGAAAATATTATCAAGTAGATGTTTTTTAATTATTAACTATGAACACTGCATAAGAAATGAATTCATCAAGCAGTTTTTTTTTTTTTTTGCAAAAATTAACTATTTGAAATTAAAAATGAATTCATATGCGTGCAATCAATTCGAAGAGAATTTCAATTTAAGTTATTATTTTTTCAGATGCAATAAGTATGAGAAGTTTATTAGAATCCAAAATGTCACTGACATAATAAGAATTTTCTTCAATAAATAGAAAACTATTGCACTTCCAACTGAATTTGACGACAAGTTTTCAAATTATGAAAATTTTAGAGAGCTCATTTCGACTTTTTTCTTCACATAAAACTTTTAAATTGTTTATAGCTTGGCAGAGGGAAACTTGATCTCGTTATAGCAAATATAAATACACAAAGCTACGTGAAATATTAACAAGTTATAGACTTGCGAAAAACTAAAAAATACACATCAAGTTTGCAGTGTGAAAGCATTAAATCTTATTTCCATTTTTATAGCCAAAAATAAATAAGTTTGGTGAAAAGTCGAGATGAGCTCATTCTTTTCCATACATTATTTTACAAAATTATAAAAAACTTTTCAAATAAATTAAAAACAATTCAACCGCAAAGTATTCTGCACAAATGACAAACCATCACGACAGACAAAACGAAAGCATATGAAATACTATAAATGTACTGTATTAATAGAATAGTACACAATATTTTTTCTATTTTTTTCTGTACAAAGTACTTTAAACTTCTACTACATATATATATATGTAGTATTTTTTTCATATATTCCTTCGCTGTGTTTCATATATTTTCTATATATACATTTTTTATTTTCTATATATATATAAAATAAAAAATGATTGACATGACGTTAAATAATTTGGGCAGAGCAATCTTAGTTATAATGATACTCGGACATTTTACGACGGACATATTATTCAAATATGATCCCAAATAATTTTATCGTTAATTTTTTTGATATTTTGTGCGAAGTTTTTGTGTGTGAATTTGCACAGAAAATTTACGCTGAAATGAACACTTACGTTCATGCGTTATAATAACAACAACACATGTTCACATACACATATTTCCACTTTATAAGTTATTTTGTACATTATAATTACAAATAATATCTGCAATAATTGAGCAAATTTTCACACACTATTGTTTATGGCTTTGTAGAATTAATAATTTTGTATTAAAATGTCTGAGAAAAACAACAACACAAATGAAAATTTTATTGTACAATCATTGTAAAATCTGAGCTCAAAGGCATGGCCCTTCGAAATGAACTTAAAAAAATGAAATGTGTGTGCATTTGGTTAGAATAACGAAAAAATGCAATAAAAAATTATGTAATATTATTACAGTAAAAAACTGCAAATTTCATTTGCCTTTTTTCAATATTATTTAGCTTTTATTTAATTTATCTTACAATTTCCTTTTTCACAATATTAATTTGTAATGAAATAGAATATAGCATTTAAGCTTAGCCATAATACATAGCCATAAGTGCTTCGCTTTACATCTATTTAAAAAATGTGGAAGCTTTTTATCTTATAAGCATAGAAAACTACGCAACAAAGTTGTAGAACTTCATAACTATACTTCTTTATAGTCATTATTATTCAGTTGTGAACTAAATGAAGCAAATTTTATTAATTACTATTGTCAGTATAAATATAAATATTATTATTATTATCATTATTGCTGACATTAACATTAATATTGTTGTGATCATTACCACTAAAATAATATACCACAAGATATTACAATAGTAAGCAATATTCTATAACTGTAATTGTTTTATGAACAAATCAAACTACCAAAGTTGTAGAAGCACATTTTTGAATTGATATGTTTTGCAATATTAAAATACCTACCATAATCAGACAATTGAAGGGAAACGAGAATACAGTATTAGAACTAGCTTCTGAATTTCTTTCATGGGTAATTTTTAAATCTTTTATCTGTTTAACGTTTGGATGCTTGAGAATATCAGAATTGCATTCGTTACTGCCACGACAACAGCATAGTTTCCCAATAAGTATTCTCTCGTTTTGCTACAATAAAAATGAACTTTATAGAAAAACAATGACCTCTCAAAAGGTCATGAAAGAAATAAGAATATTTTACTTGGTTAAAAATAATAGAAACTTAACAGTACTATTAAACATATATTTTTACAGAATATAAATTTAGTTTATATTTTAACGATCTTGTTTATGAATTGATTGTTTTTTGTATTATCTTTTGAATGTAGTTTTAATCAAATATTTTTCAAAAAAATTTTTCTCAAATGTAAAAACTTATACTTCAATTGTTTTATATTTTTGAATTAGCAAAAATTAAGCAAAAAAATTTATCTGGAAATTTACACTGGAATAAAAATCGAGGCAGGCTTTTATAGTATCATTGACGCGATCAGTTTCATCAGCAAACTGATCACATCGAGGATGTTTAGGGAAATCATTTACTTGATCAAAATAGACCTGATTTGATGTACGCTAAAAAGTTGTTAGATTATACTGTGATTATAACTTTTTGATGATAACAACAGAGATTAAAATCGCACTGACTTGTATTTAGAATTAAAATCTGAAATTTAAGCATATAATTTTTGCACATTTTGACTTTTCTAAATTGTAATATCGCAAAACTGAAACCAATATTCAAATCAATTTTAAATGAGAAAATTTATAGAATTGTTAACTTCATATATATTATAGTAATTGATAAAAAATAAATATTACAAAAATTGTATCGGAAGAGTAAAAACGAACAACGGTGACTATGACTTACAGTCGGTGTCAGGTTATCATTTTTGAAACGTTTTAGAGCTCGAGACTGGCAACCTCTTAAAATTACATCGTTTTTATTGTCACCCTAAAATTGCTGATAAGCTCTTAGTAACTTGATAATAAAATTATATAAATTATGTAACAAATTTAGCTCAGAAAAGTAAATCATATTCATAAATTTTGTCAAGCAAAAAAACATAATTTGTTATGAGTACATAAAGTTGGTGATCATATCTTACAAAATCAGCAAATTTCTTAAAAATTATTTGAAAAAATCGAACTTCATCCCCGAAAAATTTTTTAAAACTAAAATTTTGAGGAAAATATAAAAATTTGATAATAAAAATGATAAATTGATTTTCATTACCTAATGAAAATGAATATAAATCTGCTGATTTAATATAAATTAATATAAATTTTTGATTTTCATTACTCTGAAAATTATTAAAAAACTTCAGAAATTCAAACAGTAAGTTTTTCAGCCTACTACTTCAATTATTACTCGTTATAAATTTTTAGAAAAGAATAACTACAGCAATTAAGCAGAAAAAACTGCTTTAAAATATAATGAAGTGAATTATTCAAAATAAAAAATATCCATACATATTTTAAATATGCAAAACACCAAGGATCAATACAGTTCTTGAAGTGGATTGTTGTTTCAGATGTTTGATAGTTAAAAATGCAACTTTGATAGCCAATTGTGGCTTCCATTTTCAAATTCAAAAAATTATAGTTGCACATATCCTGAAAAAATTTGCTTCAATTATTGAATTGCATTGTATTTTGGTTTAGATCGAAAGTGAAGTGAAGGAAAATTTTTACATTACAAAATTATATTTATATCACGTAAAAAACTTTTTAAACGTATAAATGACTTTCTTATTATATCAGAATAAATTTCGAATATATTTAATACAAATCTAGCTTTTATATTTTTGATAAATATTTTTAAGACCAACTTTAGATTATTCAATAAAATACGGGTAACGTAGAATACCAATCTCACTAAAAATATTTATCTTATAAATGAAGTTGATTGAAGCTAAATGATGCTGACTTTCCGATTTATTTAAAATCTGTTTCGATTTATTCAAATTTTTAAAAGAAGAAATAAAGATTAAATAAGCATACATATCAGTAATTAACAAATAAGCCCATTTCAGAATAGCTTATATCAATAAGTTAAATAATTATTTTTGATGTTTATAAAAAGCATTTGAAAAAATTAACGGCTTCATTGCAGCAACACTTAATGTCATCACTAGCGCGGTCGAAGCATCCTGTAGAGTTCATTTTTCCGCGTAGAAATTCCTGATTTGCACAGTACATTGAGGAATCACAATTGAACACCCCAGTAACCTTGTCATGAAAGCACCAACCGAAAATATTATTCGTTTCACACAAACCCTAAAATAGATTGAGTATTATTTATATTTTTAAGTCAAAAAATTTAATCTTCAAACCTTCCGACTAAGTTTAAGTTGGTAAGAATTGCTTTACTTAAAAGTTATGTTTACCTTTACGTTGTCAACGCAGTCTCGACTATCAGTTGATCGAATATAGAGAAATACCATAAATAGCATTTCAAATTTTTGCGTCGATTCAATACTCTCAATAAGAAGTTGACAGCTTGATAACTCTATGAAAACTATAAAGTAATTTTGAATTTTATTTAAATGCATTAAGGCTCATAAACATGCTGAGCAACTCAATAATATTAAATTTAGACTAGAATAAAATTCGATAATCAAAGTCAACTGATTATAACGATTTTAATCAATCAATAAAAACTGGAATATTTTTGTGAATTCTAGAAAATGCCTAAGACGAATAATACATTTATAAGACTGGATAATACATCTAACATAAAAGCAATAGTTTATTTACTGTTACTTGCAGTGAATTCCAGAAAATGCTTTAAAAAGTAATATTACCAAAGTAAACTTCACTTCACAACCTTAATAAGCTTATTCTAATGACTAAGATATGAAATTGTCATCACATTACTTTCATGTTAACTTGCACGAATATCCCCTCGTACCATGCATATTTTATGCTAATTACAGCGATGTCCTCATTCCAGCCAGGACTTCCGAGACAAATTTTGATGGCTTCTAAAATTATACGTAATTTCTGGTTTATTTTTATTCATTACATGTTGAAAAGAGCAAAAAATACTTCTGTATACTTTGCAAATGAAAAATTTATTTTTTAATCGACCAAACAGAAATACAATATTGATATGCTTTTTGAACAAATACCACAAATACATAAATTTTATATTAATATCCAACTAAAATGAACTATATTACTGAGGTAAGACTGAATTGCAAAATGAATGTGTGTCATAATGAAACTGTTCTTCGCATGGAACGAGCATGCCCTAATGCGATAAATAATTATTCAATTAGATGCGCCCATAAAGTATAACTTTATTAAGGTTATTAATACAAAACTGTAGCTGTTATAATCACAAATTTAGATTCACTGTTAGCACAAATTACCACATAGATAGATAGCTTTTATATTTTGGGCATAAAGCATAAGAATCGGACTAAAACATTGCTAAAATATTGAATGTGAGGACAAAAAATAAAAAACTGTCAGCAACAATTAAGTTTGCACCAAAAAGTTTTTCATATTAAATTAAAATCCGCAATAAATAAATAATGAAAGACGGGAATCAAAGTAGAGTTTATGGCACGTACGAAAATAGAATAAGGAGCGATAAATTAAATACTGCAGAATTCAAAATATCATTAACAAAATTTTGCTAATTAAGCCTAGTTGATTTAATTTCAACTTGTGGATAAAATAATTCTAAACGGCTTTGTACCATTTGCAACTCCAGCTCATTTACTGTTGGAATGTAGTCTACTGGATCTCGATGACCTGAAAGCACATACTTTCAAAAGTATTTGATTTGATGCTTTAAATATCACAATATGCAATCTTAAATAAAAATTGTGCTTAATCGTTTTCAAATTTTTTTAAAATTGGTCCTACAATTCATAGCATGTACGGGATATATCTAAAAAAGTAAAATTTTTAAAACACCTTATCTCGACTTCATACTCAATTTTATTAGTTGTCATTTTACATAGCCTAAAAATTAAGTAAGCATTTTATTTTGATGTAAAGAGCAATAAAATACAATTATAACAAATAAATAACGCACAATATGCTTTTTGTGCAGTTTTTCGAAGTAATCCTTGCAAACTACCGATAACTTTCTGGATAGCCAGACAGATATCACCTTTCAATTTATCCATCCAAACAAGAAGTAAACTGACGAAAATGTCACCCGTACCCACAAACATACCAGGTATGATTGGTATATCAAAACGATACTGCACTGACTGCTTAGTATCCTCTAAAGACAAAGCAAAACAATGTTTTTTCAGCCAATAAAATACTTGGAAAATGGCAATAATTAATTACAAAAATTTGGTTCAAAACTGATAAATTAATTTGTAATAAGTTTAGGCAAATGAATCAATGGTTACTATTTCAAAAATATATATCCAAAGAAATGAATCCTAAAAGCAAAAAATAAACTAATATATTATCGAAAAAATTAATAACAAAAGAGGATAATTATCGATAATAAATCAGAACACACCTTTATAAACAGATCCATAACAAAATTTAGTAGTTGATGTCTCTAAACCACTTGTAACTACCACTGTTTTGATACCACTTTCATGCATCAGGTTAATTGCTTTTAAGCAATCAGTCTCGTTATTTATTGAAAAACCAATAAGTTCTCTAATAAAGGAATAATATTCAGTTTATACTAAAAATTTACTTCACTTTTACATGCTTAAATACTTGTTTATCATTTAATTTCAACTGCGTACAAATTACGCTTTGAGTATTTAACAATAAAAATTTTAATTCTTCTGAGAGCAATCAAAATTTGTACATTTAAACCTTCATTTTATAATTGTAACTCTTTAGTATCCAATTTATGCTCTAATTTACCATTTTATTTACTCTAAATGCTTTGGGTAACTAATACCATACTCGCTAGTAATTTTGTATCCTGAAAATTAATTTTAGGTACAGTTTACTCTAAAGAGTCTCCGGCTGATCATCTAATTGTTCTTACTTTTGTTTATGATTTTCTCCTTTAATTAATAATAATTTTATACTTTTATAACTCTTTCAGATCAAAATAAACGAATCTGCTTCCGAAAATCTGAATTCTTCTCGCGCAGCCTGTCAAGCAATTCTCATGAAATTTATACTTGTCTTGAGAGATATTTATACAAAACCACACACACTTCCTTATATAAAATGCAAATGTTTCCGCTACTTACGATAATTCAAAAATATTGGGTGTGATTACATCAGCCATAGGAACCAAAATGTCTCGATAGATTGGCATCAATTCTTTTGGAACATACTAAAGAAAAAACATAAGAAATACACAATAAAATAAAAAATGCATGTATAATAAAAAATGGATTTCACTTATCAGAAGTCCTTTCTAAACTTATCCATAGCAAATCGCTACTATCATTTGCATAAGTAAACTTACATAACGACCATTGTCCCCCATCACAGGATCACAGTCTGCAAAGAAAATCCTATTAGACAATTATTCTTACATATGAATGCTAAATTCCTAATCAGGATTTGAGAAAATTTTTTGGCTGCAAAAAAATTAGATGTAATATAACATTCAGTTTAATATTTCATTAAATAGTATAAACAATGAGCAGTTCAATACTACTTTTGATGATGTGGTGGAAACAACTATTTTTATTCAAAAAATATTAGAAAACTGAAGTCATGTAAGTTCTCACAGAAAAGCACCGCCGGATTTTTTTTTTTCAAAGCTTTTACAATATTTGCTATTTCGAGCAAAAAAGATGCATCTCCACAATATCCTGAAAAAGTCATACGTGAAGAAACTACGCAGATAAATAGATTTCTTGAAAATATATAATAAAAAGAGGAATTTTCAAAATGATTCTGACAATTACTCTCAAAATGAACCTGCTCATAAGTAATAAGTAATCAACAAACCACTTAACTCAATATTATAGAACTTCAATACTTTGCTCCTAGCCTCAATGACATGATGCACTTGATGTGACAGCAAGGATATTCAAAAAAATATTTTAAAATATTCTAATATAAAATTAAAAGACCGAAATTTGAATATCAAAACACATGGAAAAGGAATGATTATCAAGCGTTTGAAACACATGATAATCACTATCTGATACGATTTGAAAATCAAACCACAACCTGTCAAAATATGTGAATAATTGTTAATTTCGTTAAGTTGTAGACCATCGTAAATATCTCTCAGCTGGATATTATCCAGTTTTTGACCTTTCACATACTTATAGCCTGCAGTTGTGATTAGCTTACAATCTCTGTCATTTTGAATGTTAGTTGTTTTTTTTTTTTGAATTTGCTATATTTTAAGCACTGAAATCAGAGAAAAGGCGCATTTTGAACAAAGATGCTAATTTTGTTTTCATGAAAATAAATTATTAATAAAACACGCTAGAAATGAATGTATTCCATTTTTATCCGCAAGTTACTTCTATTCATTTATGATAATAATGAGTGTTAGGTAAAGAAAATTGGACAAAACATGTAGCTAATCGGACTGCTGACTTCAGTGATTTGTTCATGCTTGTTTAAAATCCAAAGTCTTAATCATGCTTGTAAGGAATCTTTTTTAGCTTGGATTTGTTCATAAACAAGCAAAAAATATTGATATTTTTAAAATAATTACTAGACGTTGTGTCATTAGCACAATGTATATACAGAATTCAAATAATAAAGGATTATTAATTTTCTTGAGTAAGAAATAATAATATTTTAAAATTTATAGAATATATCAAAACACTATTTACAAATTAGACGAGGCAGAGCAGAATGATGCTTACCAACATCATCGAAGAGTATACCTGCGTGATTAGAAAGTTGCACTGAATTTATTGGGTCAACATCATAACCATGCAGCTGAAACATTTTACATTATGCGTTATTATAAATTAGCGATGGCTTTTGTTTTTAGAATACAAACTTCTTTCTCATTAAAACTATTTTGAATATAAAAAGTAAGCTTTTTATTGTAAAAAACTGTAAATATCTTTTTTAAATTAGAATAAGATATAAATATTTACTTGCAATATGAAGACGCTACACTTATTTCCCACATATCCATGTACCACATGACTTTGAATAGATAAAATACGAGAATATTCAGAAGGATTAGTTACCAACTCTTTGAATATAATGTCAGGGAGAGCACTTTCTCCCATGGAAAATGAAGTATTCAACAATTGTTCAAAAAATTTACTCAAATAATTCTTCTTCTTCGTAGCATACAAAGTTTTTTTCACTTAGACGACAAAAATATTTCTTTTTTTCACTGAAAACAAAAATAATTAAAAAATAATTCGTGATTAATTAAACGAATTGAAATCTTTAATGTTTTATGAAAGGAAAAAGCACCGTAGAAAAACTGTACTTCACAGCAATTCTCAAAAAATACATTTATTCAAATGACAAATATATAAATACCTCAGATTTGTAATATATAATCATATAACTTTGTTTGATGTTGAAAAATTTTAAACAACAACTTTTTTGTTTCTCAAAAAATGAGAATACGAGTAAAATCAGGATGAAATACTGATATCATAGAGTAATTTGCGTAAAATAACACTGACAGAAACCAATAAATAGATGTACAAACTTTAATTAATGCATAATTGAAGCAGTAATTAAATGAATTTCCATAATTTAATATTACATAGATCAAAATAAGCATACAATACATAATAACACATATGACTGAATTGTCATACTTTTAAATAATGTAAGATAAGAAAGTTGAAAATACTAAGCAAACAAAAACTATCATAAATAAGTGCGTGAAAAACATTCAGTGACAGGAAATGTAAATGTTAGGTTCTGTGAGATGACTCCTACGTTGCAAAGTTAGAAACGTCGACAGTTAAGAAGAATAATGATCATTTCTTTAGAACTGTCATTTTCAGTATAGCAACACGCAAGAAGCAATAATGGAAACCGAATAAATTTGAGCTAAAGATTCTTAACTGATTTATATGCCTATGTTTATTGCTCTTAACTTCAAAACTCACTTACTCACTTTGAATTTTGCTCAGTAGGAAGTGCTGCTTGAAGTAATTTGCACTAACTAACAAACATACTTCTACTAGCATAAACGTTATATTAAATATATAAATAACTGGGAGTTAATACATATTCATAACTTGTTCCTAACGTTAAAAATGTCCCTTTACTCTTACTCCATTATTACACATAACTGTAAGCAAAAAATAGTTTTAAAGAACGATGGCAAGTAACTTATGTAGACATAAGACTGAAAAAAATACTATTATCAATAAATCAGTCAAAAAGCTAACATTTCTCTTACACTTATACAATGGAATTCAACATTTGCAGTGTGTGGAAGTGTCCTTTCAAACAAAGGATCGAAGGTCATAGTTTAAGATAATTAAAAATATTTTAATATATTGAAATTACAAAAAAAACTGTTAAATTCTTTAGAAAAGTAAAATGAATCAGAGATGAAAACTTAATTAGAATCAACTGCAAAACTTGGAGAAAAATTGAAAATGAAAATTAGATTGACTTCACAATGAAAATTTGACAAACTAATAAACTACCTCCTATACGAAGAAGAATGCTAATTTGTATTCTAAGCCCAGTAAACTTTTATCGCACTGCACAAAATCCCATCTCTCGTTAATGGCCATTCTCAGCAGGCTCACAATTAATCTCCTTGCATTCCAAACATTGTATGCGAAATCAAAACGCTTCTTATGCAAGTCAAAAACATCGTACAAGCCTACAAGTCATTTCATTCGCAAAATTCCTTCACAAGCACTTGATCCGTATTTACCAAATACGTCAAATAGCATCAAATGGTCCTCATATAATGACAGCAATGCCAACTTAAAAAAGAGTAATTTATAGTACCAAACTGTATCCTTCTCTTACCTGATACGACGTACAAATTACTTCCGTCTCTCACACGCAACCTGATGGAAATAAAATCAAAAATGACTCCCAGCACCAGAAATGCTAAACCACTACCCAAATGCTTTTATAAGTCTTTTGCATAGCACAATTTTAAACCATGTTCTAAACTCAACTCCATAGATCATACCTGCATGAGTATTCGCCTGTCGCAATCGGCTGATCATTATAAGATACAAAAGTTCCATAAGTAGTTGCTAAAATGCCGGAAAAATAGTTATAAGATTTCTTGGACAAGGACGCAATTCTATTACGTATGAAATGACTTACATCTGTAAAGATTTGCTGTTTTGCCAGTTGATTAGACATAACAATATTCATATGAAATTACCGCCAATTCGATTACCTTGGTAAAACAGCGTGGGCTTTTGAATATTTATAAACATGAGTTTAATAGATTACTTTATTTAACATCAAATAATATCAGTTTCATAAGCCCAGAAGACAGATCGTTTGAAATTATACATCTCATTCAGTACCAAATTGACATTCCCAAAACATTACAGGCCTATTACATGAAGTATCATCAAACTGGAACTAGTCATGAAAACGCAGAAATGTACTTCTAAATTTACAACTGTTAAATTCTTTTGAAAAGTAAAATGAATCAGAGATGAAAACTTAATTAGAATCAACTGCAAAACTTAGAGAAAAATCATTAGTTCCTCTACATCAATGATTCATTTTTTACATCGTATCATCATGTGCAAACATTGCATGATCACACAACACACTGCCATTAATTGTTAATTTATACAACATTTTTGCTTTGACACAGATTCTACGGATCACGCCCGTCTAAATAACCTAAAATAAAAGAATATTCTTAACTAATTTACAATGCGACACAAAACTATTTCGGTACTGCTAGTGTGTGATACTTTTTAATAGTCTTGTTGGAGACCAACTACTCCAAGTTTATTAACTGCAAATGTATATAGTAGTAAAGATAGTGGAAAATCAGTGGATCTCACTTGAACACATCAACTGCAACAAACCAAAGTAAGAAACAAATATAAACAACCATTAAAGAAACTAGTCTAAAGCAACCTAACACACAAGGAACATTTCCTATCAAAATAAGTCAACATCAACTATTTAGAATCATCAGGATTATCTGTGAACTCTTAGAAAAAGCTGAAAGACTGAAATGTTGATTGTAGAGAAAAATTTCTAACACAGTCTCCACCAATAAATATTTTGCAGTATAAAGAAAAGGCATCAAATAGCTGACTGGAAATTCAACACATTATGAAGTCAGTTACCCGTCGACAATGAAAAACATGAAATAAATGAACTGAAACTTTCAATGATCGAGCACAATAGGTTAATCCAATCGCAGTTAGTTTTGTTTCTTATTAATAAAATGGCGCTGAACTATACCGGAATGCAAAGTGCATGTAAAAAATGGTCATACCAGACTTAAAAATGTTTTGAAGCATCTCCAATAGACTTCACAGCTCGTCCTTAGATAATAAAGAGTACCGATTTTCAGCTGGTTTCAAATGCTTGAAGACACTTGTTGGTGGCTGCTGTTTGGCAATTTCTTTAGCTCTCTACAATTTCAATCTAATCGTCATCTTTTAAGCTTCAACTTCTGAACTTAAATTTCTAATTTTAAATTTAGTACAGTAATCTTATATAGAGTGAAAGTCAAACATAAAAAATAGTCAAAAAGTGAAAAAAAGAGCCAGTATACCACAACTTATTACACATTCTAAAACACTGCAATCATACCTTTTCAAGCAAATCATCAGATGATGATGACAAAACAGATTTTGTTGAATCTGGACCATGATGAAATTCTCGATGCAGCTTACCTGAGTGTAGATCCAAAACGAACTGGCGTAATTTTCCAGGTACTCTGAAAAAATAAACTTGACTATTAGTATTTCCAGATACATTGAATTACGTAACATTCAAATAACCACATAACAATAAGATGATTTTAAAACTTTTCATCCAGTCTTTAAAATGATTAATGATTTTAAGTGGTAAAGCTCACGTTAATTCATTTATATCCGGAAAAAGATACATATGACGAAAAGAATCAATTGCGAGAATAGGCATATCATCCATTGTTTTACCCAAATGCTTTAGAGGATGAGCAAATTTTTTACCATCAGCAAATAAACAATTGATACTAGCTGCAACTTATAATTTCTTAGTAAATAATGGATGATCATAGATCGTTTTAACTGTATCAAAATCAAATCTCGCATGTCTATTACTTTAAAAAAAAATCCTATCCTTTTTTACCAAAAAGTTAGCCTGATAAACTTGAAAATGGCGAAAGCAAGAAACAAAAAACAATTTTTACTTCTATAAAAAAAAATTTCTAACTTACACCTTTTACAAAAATATATATTTTTAATGATAAAATACTCTTACTTTTTTGGTCGAAAAGTTCACGTGCAACCTGATCCGAGAAGATTTTCTCAATTTTTGAATCACCTGCAGTACGGAACAAAATAAGAAAAGGAAGTCCTTCTTCAGTTAATTCTTCAGCATTTTCGAAAGTTATTTCTCGAATTGACGGTATGCATTTATCTGTTAACCACTCCCTAAATGAAATTCCACATAATCAAACTCACTTTCACAAAAGAAAAAGAAGCTAAATAAAACAACGACAGCCGTATATTTAGGGTCAGAATGAAAGTAACAATGGCAAAATTTTCCAAATGCTCTAAACCATTAAAAAAAATATAGCAAACTTCATTGTTTCAAAGTTTGCAAGTCCACCGGTGTATTCAGCTCTTTCCTTGATCTGGAAAACATACTATTATCATTCTATGACACAGTTAAGAAGCCATTATGTGGAGTCAAATACAAGTGAAATATTTGAGTACTAAATAAACTGAACAGATAATGAAAAAGTGAAGTTCTGAAAATTCTGAATAAAATAAAACCTATTTTTACAGCTTTAACCGTACTTCAAACATAAATTTCAAAATATGAATAAAATAACTAACATCTGTGGGCCTATACTCAAGTCTATTGCCTTTTGTTAGTTCAGAAGCGAAAGTTTCACCAATACCAAGCCAAAATGTGCAGTCATCTCGCAATAATGATGCAGTTCTGATAAAATTATCGAATTCTGGACCAGCTGCTTTATCAAAGTACGCTATAACGTTGCGTTTTTCCTGCTGAAATAAAAGTAACTTTTTAAAGCTTAAGCACAGAAACAGTACTAGTGATGGAAATTAGAATTAACAAAACATTCGCTCACATCAATTTGATTAGCTAAATCTGCATTCGATGTAAAATTTCGGATGGTCGAAAGTAATTCTTTTTCTATAAATTGTGACAAAGCAGATGATGACCGTTGTCCACTAAAATAAAATAAAAATACGGACTTAAACAAAAATGCGATAATAAAAATGCGAATGGATGTTTCAGCTGAATATATAAAGCACTTTATTTTTGAAAAACGATACTGATTTTTACCGGTATTCCTTTTTCACAAGTTCACCGCTTCGAAACAGTTTCAATGTCGGATATTTGTTGACGTGATATTTTTGTGCAATATCAGCTGAAATTTTTGGAATTTAATGCAGCACGAAAATAAGATTACCAAAACAATGATTTCAGTAAATCACATCTTAAACACCTTACTTTCTCGATCACAATCCACAGTAGCCCAAGCAACGCGATCCCCTCTATTCTAAAATTATTGAAATACGAAAAAACAAAGAGAGATTCGAAAAAAGTAAGATCTCTATTTTTGCAAATATTTCCATATCATATAATAGCATACTGAAATTCAACCTACCTTAAATTGATTACTTGCTTCTTCGAAAATTGGCTTCAGATGCTGCGAAAATCGGCACCAGTCAGCGTAAAAATTCACAAATACTACCTCGTGATTTTCTACAAGATCTTTCAAAGATTTCCAAAAATAAATCATATAGAAATTACCTTACAAATTACATGTAACTCTTTTATGTGACTTTTTGAAAAAAACATTATTATTAAGAAGCTTGAAAAGACATGCAAGACTGAAATTGTTCTTGACTCATTCTGATTAAGCTTTAAATTAAAAGCAAAGATCAGCAAAAATTTTTCATTAGAAAGTAAATTGTATGCAATCAAATTAGTGAAAATCTTATATTCATATTTACATGAGTAGATTGAACTGGAGCCAATTTCTCAAATTTAGTTACATATAGCAATTAATGTGAATATCGACTGAAAAAAAGATGCCAACAAAATTTTAATAATAAAATTTGAAAAATTATAAATTGATGGAATATTAAAAGGACGTACTAAGTACTTCTTTGATATTATCCCCATTCAGCTTAATAGTGTCAGCTTTTACAACGGATAGTAAATATATCTAAAAACAATTAATGCACAAACGTATTTCATACAAACTGTGTAAATAAATTCATCTCTACACATAAAAGATTAAATGAAATTAAAATTTAAAGCGGTAAATGAAGACAAAATAGTAATAAATAATTCACGGATACAATATTTCTACGACACGGCAGCATTCTACCAAACAGTCACGAACAGAACAACTGGTAGTGCTTGCCATGCAATCATAAAAATTTAATTAGCTTAAAATCACTAGAACTTTAATTACGGGTTACAAACTACAGCTATTTAGGTCAAAAAAAAATGCAAAAAAAAAGAATTACTAAATGAAGCAGTAATAATGAATGTTTCGAAGTTAATCCACTCATTTGCAGGGCTGTACAACATACGCGTATCTCACCATTCATGAAAATTTGAATATTACGATCTTTCAATCGATTCACAAGCTGTGAACTGAAATTGTACACAATTTCAAATTCAAATAAGAAATGAGCATGGAATCTGCAAAAGAATTCAAGCATTCTGATTTTTACATCCAAACATTAATAAAAACAAGAAATTAATCATTTCTACACTTACACAACACTTAAAATTTGCCACCACTTTTAACTCCATAAAAGAAAACTTGAACTTTTATCTTGGATTCATTTAAACTTTTCTGAATTCACCAAATTTGCGATATACATTACAAAAAAGAATTTTAGGAAACTGATAACAAGATATTAATTGATAACTGACTGGAAATTTTTTACGTAAATAATAATCATTTAAAATAAATTATAATTAAACTGATCTTTCGGGATGATGAAAAAAAGATAGGAATTAGATACCTATTGATTTGGACGATAAACCAGCCCTTTGTATTTCGTGTCTCTTCAATTCTTTGATGCTAAAATAAAATTATGTAAACACAAAAAAAATATGCATTTTTGACTACAAAAGGTGTAGATGGATGCGGAGAAAAAAACAATTCTTAATTAAAGCAATAAGTTATAAAAAAGGCTAAGAGTAGGATCACCTCTCTCGCACATTAAACGTGCCTTTTTTGTTTACGTCAGTTAATAATGAGACGACGTGGTCCTGGTATGATTTTTTAGGTCAATATGCAATTCACAGGTTTCAAATATTAAAATTTTAAAGTGAAGAAAAATATCTGTCATAAACATTGTTTGCATACAAGTTTTTTGAAGCAGTTTTAATTTTGAAGTGAGGAATCATTTAAATATTTAAAATTGTTGATTGAGAGGTATTCAGTCTTACAAAATGTTTGAAAGAATTGAAACGCGCATGGTAGGAGGGGATGGTAAGGAACAAAAGTAGTCGTTATAAACATCAAAGTTCAAAGTTCAAAGGGAAAAGAATAGGATCATTGAAAGAATAGACGAGATGAGTGCTGACTTTGTTATTCAGCAATGATAAGGCACGTAGTGAAGAGAAAAAAATTTGAATACTAATGCTTTCTATGTAGTTGGCTTCTTTTGCAGATGAAAATTTGACTTTTAATGCTTTTTTGACCTTTTTCGATACTATCAGCAAAGGAAAATAGTCTCAAAGTTGTGGTCCTCACATTCTTTGGTGTTAATTAAGATTACTTAGTACTAAAATTTGAATATTTTTGGCTTTATAAGTACAGTGCAAGAACTTTGGTCATTTTTAAAATGATAATTTACTAAAAGATTACTTAATTCATCATTTAGTAATGAAGTCAATTAAGTTTGTATATTGCTTATATATTTCATGGAAATGTTTTGCATGAATTCATCTAAGCTATTACTGAATATTTATTAATAATATTTTGTATGCAAATTAATTTCGTATAATTTTGTGGTGAAGACTTTATTATTGCAAAGGTAATGAACGGACGGCAATGTTGCTCAGTTGAGCTGCAGCTGAAATGCTATCCCTCTCAAAGCTATTTTGATTTAATCCATAAACACATTGACTATTCTGCAACACTGTTGTATATTCATAGAAGTAGACTTCAGATGTCAATTAAATAATAATTTTGATCTATGTTTCTCTATCAAATGAACTGAAGTTACTTTTAAATATCATTTGAAGTTTTGTTGACTTCAATGCAAAGTTTCATCTCAATTTGAATCAGTGCTGATTATTGATCTTTACTTTCAGCTATAGTGATAGCTTAATCCGAACTTGAAATATTAATAACATTCAAGTCTTAATTTAATGTTTTGCTTTCCTACAAATTAATCCAGGCTCAATTAGTATAATTGCAAATAAAACTTTTCACTTCATATACAAGCAATCGTTTTATTTTCTATTATTATTATTTTTACGTAAAAATTCCATCTTTAAAAATAGCTAAATTTTTAACTTTGTAAATAAAGTTATAAGAACGAAATAAAAAATAAGATTTGAGTTAAATAGTTTTAAATTATCGTCAACAAATCTGTGGCAAGGATAACTGATCACTTCGAGAACGAAACGAGAATGTGATGTTTGCGGTGATTCGACTTGAACAACTGCTGAGGGCGCGTCCTGATAAAATGAGTTTGAACACAAAAAATCATTAGTTCTTTACGTAGTAGACAGTTACTTTGATTCTATACTTATGAGTTGATGCAATAAAGTATTCACGTCTGATGTCATAGTTATTTTTCTTCATCTTTTAATTTGAATGGAAGGAAATTTTTCTTTTTTTTCTCAAATAATTGGTATGTGAAATATAATCATTCATCCTTGCAGCCTTCAGCTGATAGCCACCAAATTATTCGAAGCAAGAAAAACCAAACTGAACATTCATTCTGTCGTATTACAGAAACATATAATGTTCCAATTTTATCTTAAAAAGTATTCATTGCAGGCTTCATTCATATTCAGTACATGTGGATGATTCAAGAGGTCAAGTAGTAAGTGATGCTAGCAAAGTTTTGATCCAATTTTTATGACCTTGTTAGTTTTAAAATTTTCGAGTTTTGATTTTCAGTACTAGTAAATCGAAAAAACAAATGTGGATACTACAAACTTCTTACAGATTACAAAGTCGCAACTTCTGCAAAGAAATAAATTTTAATCAAGGTATTTAAAAAATGAAATATTGCGAATAAGATAGGAGATAAGACTACTGAAATGTGTTCTTCATCTGGAAAGCTGATGAAAGCTGACGGATAACTCTGAAATTGACAATAATTATCATTGAAAACCTTCATATCATCTTCATTCTTAATTCATTTACTTGCTTTATTTCTGCAGAGAAGAGAACTGCAACTGAAGTTATTTCAACTGAAAACGTGTAAAACAAGCAGCAAATCATTGCATAAACGTGTAAAATCTTTTGTTTTTTAAATGCAATTTACAGCTGTAAATTGCACAAATTAAATCAAACAATTTGGCACATACTAATACACTTAGCAAAACTTTGCACACTGCGAAAAAGTTCAAACTTGAACAAGTTTTTTGGCCTTTCCCTTTAGCGATGTAATCAACTTATGATATTTTGTATCAGATAGTTCTTTCAGTGCTGTATGTAATCACTTAAATACACACCGATTTTCATCGACAAATCATTTATAAAAATCGCAAAACTTGAATATAAGATCTCGATTTTGGATACATCATTACTGATCCAAAGACAATATGAATAGAACATACTTTACAAAAATTACGATCAAACAATAATCCATGTGCTTCGAATTAAATTACAAATTTAAATAAATGAAGGAATTAATTAATGATAGTGACAGCGAGAATTAACAGCATTTAAATTTATACTGAATTAATAATCAAATATGTTATAAGCAACGATAAACAAATGCATACAAATCATTAATCCATGGTTCAATTTTGATTCGTTTATAGCCTCGATCACATTTACAAAAAAAAACTGCTTCGGTAACTGATGTTAAACTTTCACCAGATTCATGTATCCTTCCAATTACACGTGTGAGACTACGTGCTCCACGACACGGAAACCTGAATATATCCTTCACTGAATCACATAATATCAACGTAATCATTTCATCCAGTTTAATGCTATTTTCCATTTTTAACTCGCACTTTGTCTCATTTGCGCACTGACAAATTGTTTCATTTGTAGCGCTAATCATATTAGAAAAATCGAATCTATGCATTGGAGTAAAGAATTCATCATATAAAGGAAATTCGCTCATTCCAGATCCAGAATCCCATCCAGATCCTTCTGAAATTGCTTCAAGCAATGAATAAGAACGAAGTTGTACTCCACATATCATCTCAAGATTATTGCAGATTATATCAGAATCATTCATAGCTTTTACGGGAATCAGTACAAATAAAATAAGAAGAAACCGGATTAATGTAAATAATGAAAATACTTGCAGATATCGAGATAATAAACAAATAGTTGTTAAAAATTGCTGAAACATTACAGCTTGAAAGCCGGAGATTATGAATTGTCGCCACATAATAGTATTCTCCTGCTTATAGCACAACTGTTCCTCCACATTGATGATAAACTGCTGGCATCGGAGGATAGTGTATCAGTTGATAGACTGAACTAATAGTCAAAATTCAATCCTACGAAAGTAAGTAAAGAGATGAGAAAATTTGACTGCAATATACTTACTTATTACATTTCAATTTCATCTAACTACTTCTATGAAAGTCTTACGAATTTATTAATGCATATTACAAATATACATCAATCTATCCACTATTCATACTACGCAAGAAGTTATACCACAACACACCATTCTTCCCCTTTCTGATATTAGCAGACCTTACTACTAAGCTTCCTTCACCAATTCCCTTAAGAGTGAATGATCGACTTGAATTACTCACTTCTGTTTGTAACACAATGAATACATAAACACATCCCTTCTCAAGCGAATTTTTACAGATTGCTTGCATTCCTTACAAACACATGTGATTGCTCTCAGTTAAAAATTATAACTGAAGATAGCGAACTTCATTACAATCATTCATCGACTACTTCAAAAATTTGGCCTTTAGAAATAGAGAAATTGACTTCTAGTCCAGAAACAAAAATCACACACCGATTGCAGTAAGCACACTCTTTGACTGTTTCTATTGTCAAATTTGTAATCCTCAAGATGGCCTTTAAAATTAACTGCACATTATGTACTGTAAAGTTAGGCTGAAAATCAAATACTATTGGTCAGAAAATGTTGTATGCACTGCACTGATCTGAATCCCATTGAAAAGCGAAACTTCCACTTCGTGAAAAGTAGACTTACTTCAGATCACAAACATGAGTGAATCTTTTTTATGAATAAAAAAATAATTGCTAAAAAATGAAAAGAATATACTGCCCTCCCATGCACATGGAGTTCACACCATTTGACAGTAAAAATTTATTATACTAAATTTTCAGAATAGCCAAATCATTAATTACCTGACTTGAACCACCACGATGGTCACATGAACTTAGATAATGTCAGCTTAATTAAATACAGTTACAATATATGCAAAATATGTTGAAAGTTAAGCCCCATTTAGATCACTAAATATTCCAGATAAGAATTCAGATATAAAAGTAAAAAGTAAAAGAAAACTTGAATTTTAAACTAAAACTTAGCACAAACTAAAAAGTATTTCAATTCATCATCTGCAGTTTAGTGCATCAAAAATAATTCACAGTGAAGACATTCATGACAAAAGGATACGATTATAGATGGATCGATATTAATATTAAAGAAACTAGACATACAACATTAAACTTCAGAATATGAGTATTAAAATTTGCTATAAAAGAGAACTTTACCACTTTTTTTCTTCCACCAAGTAGAGAAATACTTGAGCTCGGAAAACATTTTCATTCCTTAAGTAATAATCTAAAATCTAGGCATGAAAAGAAAATTCAACAAAAGCACTATCAAAAGACGACTTCTAAAAAACCCCACACTATACAACGAGAAGCAATCAGTTTTCAACTACAAAATTAATAGTCGACAGAATGAATATTTCAAACAACTGCTTTACACGAGTTTGTTTCAGTTTCGAACGTAAAAATATAAGTAAATTTTTTGTACAACTATGCAGGTCTACTTTTAACCTGATCATTAACTAGTGAAAAAAAAGACCAAACATATTGGATTTTTCAAAAATCATACTACTTTAACTGCACAATGAAGTTAAAAATTTTATTAGAAGTAGTCATGAGGAAATCAGTGTTGCAGGAACTACAATCACCTGCATAGAAATTTTTTATAATGTGATATTAGTAGAATGAAAGCGAATAAAATGGAAGAGTACACTGAAAATCATAGGTAAAGAGGATGAAATTCTTCAATGATAGCATAATTCTAGAATCAGGCAGTGAACCTCCAGAAATCATGTTCCACTCCTTCCGCACAATGTTTTAAAAGCGTTGTACGTCGCTGTTCGACATAACGATACTTATCTTGTACCTAAAAAACAAACAATGTCAAGATGAAAAAATCCTTGATGACTATCTCACTTCATCAAAACTTATGCTTGATCTAAATTACAATTATTTTCAAGCAAAAAGTAATTATTAAATAAAGCCACTTTAAAAACTTTGCTGCTCACAACACGGACACAATATATTTCAATTTCAAATCCTCCTCTTTCCACTTTCAACACAATTTTATATTCTACTACGTATTATTCATGAGATGAGGAAAAAACCTTTTGTTTTAAGCTGATAAGATTTTCATGGTCCAAATCTCTTTCCAAAAACTCTGATAACTGCTCCGTGGCGTGCTCTAGATCCCGCTGGTTTTCTTCAAAAATTGCTGACTGATTGTCTTTTTGTAAGTAAAACGCAAAAGCATATGTATACATTAGCGTACGACGACATTCTGAGAGCACATCAACTGCCTTACGTAGAAACTGCACTTCGATCCACGACATATTTGCTTGCTGCATGACTTCCATCTTTGATTTGACAATAGAATAGAGCTGAAATTGAAAAAAAAAAACATAAATGGGACAACAACAAAAATAAGGAAGATTACAAATAGTTACCGCTAATAAAATCGAGAATTACCTAAAACTTGGTTTTCGATCTCTGATAGTATGTTTTCAAAAAAATTATACCCAGAAATAGGAGATAAAAATAAAATGAACCAAAGTTTTACTTAAGAATTCTCTATAAAAGGCAGTTTTTTTAACCACTTCAATCTTAAAACTGGCAGTTATATTATCTCCACATACTTTATGCTCTAATTTTAAGCTTTGCTGATGGTTCATGTAACGATTGTAGTAGTGCAAATATCTCTGAAGAGCAGCGCGACTTCTTTCTTGTGCATCACGTGCTTGTTTTGCAAGTGTATCATCAAATCGGTTACATGAATACCACGAGCTTCCATGAGGTTCCCAAGGACCAAGACACATCCAGCAAAACTCCATTTTACAAGCTATATTCTTACACGTCATATGATTGCAGCCACCATCTTTCTCGATAGTTACCTACATAAAATTATGGTATAGTTTAATGTACTCCTTTGTTCTTTAATAATAGTTATTCTTGCCTACATAACAAAGCACACAACGTTATCATAGGTATAAGGAATACATTTCCTCAATAAACAGAAATTTTTAGAAACAAATCTGATGCAATGAATCTTTTATGACCACTAACTTGACATTTAGGACATTCTTTAGTATTTGCTGAAATCCAGTTGCTAGTTTCGCTATCGTCGTTACACTTTTTAATCCAAAGTTTTAAGAGCCTACAACTAACAGGCTCATGCCATTCATGCCCACAAGCAAAGCAAAATACTGTTCCACATGTGCACTTGACCGGACGAGCTTCAGACTGTCCCACCTCAAGAACACGTCCACAATCCGCAGCAGGGCACCATCGCAACAGACGATTACACTAACAATTTTTTAAATTAACGATAACCCAAAAAAATTTAATGTTTCATATTTGGATTTGTTATAATTTTCTTTACATACTGAAGCATGCGAATTCATAAAATATAAGACTAAAACGTTTCTGTTTTATTGACACAAGGTAAGAAATGCGATTTCAAAAGAAAAACAAACATGAATTTGCAGCATGACAAAATGTGAATTCCAGAATGATTATGTTTAATTTTGTTCAGTTTATTAAGGGCAATGTTTTCATGATACCTCCACAAAACTATTAATAATCAAACGACGATATCGTCTTTTTGCATTTTCGCTTCTTACAAGAGTCAACGTTCTTTCATCATCAACTATGATTGGACAGCTGTGCTGTGGACAAGCTACATGTGCTCGGCCTTCTTCCATAATCTGGAATCCATACTACAATTAATATGATGTAACTCAATAACAAATCGACACAATTCGGGTTTTTATAGTGGAATTTTGAATTTCGAATTTATAATCTACCTTAGTGGTTAAATACGAGTCCCAGCATGGATAACAAAAACGGTGATTGCATTGCAATCCCGTCAATATTCCATGACTGCAACAGATCATACAAGTATCAAGAACATCTGCAGGCCCTTGTTCGCCACGACGCGCTACTTTAAATGGCGAAATGATATTAGCTTCCAAAAAAAAAGCATCCTTGTCAACACTTTCATAAAACCTACAATATTTCACATATTCTAAATCGATATAGCTTTTAAAAACTTGAATTTTGATCCAAAAATAATAGACAAGGCAACAAAATTTTCAGGATATCACAAAAAATAATCAAAAATCATGCATGCAAGTCTCAAGAACACTTGAAGTATTAACATACTTTTCTAGTAAACTTTCTTTATTCCACTTATAGTGATGTAAAAGTAATCTGCAAACAGTGGGAGACAAACGCATAACCGTCGCAACATCATCTATGATTTTATTCATTTCTATGGCTACTTTTTCAGCATCCAGTACCTAAAACATTCTTTTTAATTGAGTGTCACTGCTAGAACAATTCCGTCACTTTCAAAACAGTAGTCTACAATACTGCCAATTCGGAACTTGATATTACTATTAGCACTTGAAAAAAGTGTTGTTTTAACAGAGTTTGTAGCCAAAGAATAAAATTAGAAAATGAACCAATATCAAGCAGTGATTTATTTGAATCGTTTTAAGTACTTAATGAAGTTATCAACTTTTTATAAATAAAATTTATAAGCTCTATTATGAAAACAAAATGTGAATACAAATGTTTCAAATACACTAAAAAAAATTAAACTGAACCGAACAGAATAGGTTAGGTATAAACTCTAACTTAACAACTCTTACTGATCTAATTACATTTTTTTCCTCATGATCAATCGTGAAGTTTACCACTAACGCAAATTATGACTGCAAAACTAGTAGAAAGAGTGACAAGTAATACGAGTTGAAGTGATCATAAAATTTGATATTCTAATGCATCTGTATTATGTAAATTCAATAATAGCTGAATAAATTGGAATAATTAAATCAACATATCATTGCTTTACGTGATTCTTAATGAAGGCAATAAATTCAATCAATGAATTAAAAAAATACTTGATAATCAGCTGGTTCATTTTCATGACCAGAACCACGATCATTTTTGATTATAGGTGGATCTACTACTATTCCATCATCATCGCTATAAGTCGATGTACCATCGCTTTCTGAAGCACTAGAATATGAGCCATCATCGTCCATCGTTCCATCGCTTCCTAATGACATTTGCATAAACCAGTAATTCCCTTTTTTAGTCCTGAATTGTAAACAAATTTATAAACTGGAGGTAAAGAAGGGAATTTTTCGATTTTTTTTTTCTTCATTACATAAACATCAATCAATAACCAAAATAACTTCCATCATTTTTTTAAAAAATCATTCATTTTTTCACAAGGTTGTACAATGGTTACCACTACAGTAAGTGCCATACCTGATGTAACAACCACATGTATCACAAGCACAAATACATAGAAAATTAATATCTCATCTAAATCATTACATTCTTATATACACAATACAAAACAATCAATAAATTTGCATATTGTTTCCTGAAGTGAAAATCAACAAAATTAAAAACACGACAATGACATTCCAATTTAAAATAAAAAAAAAAGTAAAAAAAAAAATATATATATATATGTAAATATATAAATGATAAGAATGTATTTTTACTAATTGGAATATAATCCTTTATCGATTAGTTACAAAAATTTATACACATGAGTATGATTTTAAAATTTATATATTTATATATATAAATTTTAAAATTATATGTATAATTAAAATAAATAAATAAATATAATTGAATAAATAAATGTATAAAATAAGCAGCATTAAATACAGAAAAAAAGAGAACTAAGTAAATAAATATTAGATAGTAACCATTTTTTTAAATAATTACAGAGTGCTCGTACACGTCATACACGCATTTCTATTCAATAAACATCAATCTAGAATGAAAATTTTGGCAGTTCTTTAGCAACTCAATGCACGACAAGATGTACTCATTTCTTGTCTAACTTTCCTTATTAACTGATTAAAAGGTCACAGCTAAGAGTTATCTATCTCATACCCGCCAGTCACTCACAAGTGTCTACGTGTGAGTATTTCAGCGCAATGCTTACCTCGCCCGCAACATAGTAAGCAGTTGCTCCACCCCTCTCTCAACACTGCACATGACAAAAAGTTCGCTTGCGCAGTCTGCACTGAATTCTTCGAACTATACGTCCTTCTATACTCTATTCACAATTTTATCAGTTATTGATAATTCTGATATGATCTTTCTTGACTCTTTGTGTTGAATATTCATACTGGAAGAATGGGATTTCTAAACTATTAAATTAATAAAATGCAGAAAGTGTCACTCAATCGTATCAGTTATGTATTGATATTACTAGCTATTGAAAGTCGTAACATTGATTTCGCATTAGTTTGTTTAGTTTTATTTATTTGATCATTTTTGTAGAGTTCATATTCTGATTGCTAGCAGTATTTTTTCCACATTTAATCTTGATTATTTGTTAAATTATTTGCAATACCCAATCAATAGATGCATGTTTTGCTATGGAATTAACGATTTATATTGAGTAAATGTGAATTGTATACAAATCTTTCAATAAATTATGCATATTAATTGTTTGAATAACTACTCCGAATAATGAAGAGAGTATACATGTATGTACCTAATTGCTTTTTCAATAGATACATGCCACTGAAAGACGAAGCTTATTTAGAGTTTGTTTCTTCCTAATCACAAACATTGACAGTCGATATTTTTAGCACGTTGACCACATAATGTTTGGACAAGTAGTAATCGGTGCACCAGGTTCCGGTAAAACGACGTACTGCAATGGCATGAGCTATATTTTACCTCAACTTGGTCGACCGGTTATATGTGTAAATTTAGATCCAGCTAATGACCATTTGCCTTACAAATGTGATATTGATATTCGGGAATTGGTAACAGTTAATGATGTCTGCTCTCGCCTGAAACTTGGTCCTAATGGAGCACTTAGGTTTGATTTTGGTATTATTTATTAAAATAAAGACTATCTGTGAAGTATTAACAATTTCATGTGGTAAGAGTAATAGTTCAAATTTCAGCACATTATTTTGGAACATAAAGTAAAGAAATGACTGACAAATTGTACTAAGTTTTTGTAAATTCTTACTTCCCTTGCATTTATTTTACACAATTTTGATTCACGAGCAGAAAGGGTTGTTTGTAAATATCATTCAGTAGTTTTAAGCAAATCAGTTAAATTTGAAGGGTTCACTTATCATTTTATTGTTACATTTTTTCGCATTTTCATTTTGATGCAGGTATTGTATGCAGACGTTAAAAAAAAATATTGAATGGTTAAGATTAAAATTATCGCATATGGAAGGTTACTTGCTAATGGACTTTCCAGGACAGCTTGAGTTGTACAGTAACGACGACTGTATTACGTCAATTATACACAGCGTAGGACATTTTTTCAGTTCTCCATTCTTTTCACTACAATCAGAATTGTTAATTGTTTTGCTTTACATTTGTTTTATGTTACTTTGGAGTTCGTTCAGTGTAAATATTTTCTGTATTACTTGGTATTTTTGTAACTCTCAATAGAGTATAATTGTCAAATCTAATCGTATCTAATTTTTTAGATGGAAAAGTGGGGCTATCGATTAGTTGCTGTACACCTCAGCGACAGTTTATATTGCTCAGATATAGGGAAATTTATTTCTGTATTACTTAGTGCCCTTTCTGTAATGATCAATCTCGAATGCACTCAAATAAATGTATTATCAAAGCAGGATTTATTGAGGATTGACGATTTACCTTATAACTTCGACTTTTTCGAACAGCTCCCCGATGTTCAGCGGTTGACCGATTTGCTTGATGTTGGTATTTCGTTTCAAATCTTTTTGTTCTAACAATAATTACATTGTCAAAAAACTATAGTTGGAATATCGAAAAGACAAGTATACAATTTCAGGAATCCCCAATACTGAGACAGTATAAAGGATTGAATGAATTATTATGCTCTGTGATAAGTGATTATGATTTAGTCAAATTTACGGGGTTGGATGTAACAAATAAAGAAAGTATGCTGAATTTACTTAAATTGATAGATGTAGCTAATGGCTATGCCTTTATAACAGCACCTGATCTGAGAAATATCGTGCAAAAATGACGCAAGTGTTTTCTGCTCTCGAAAAAAGTTAGCGTTTTTTGCTTTCCGAACCATAATTTTTGTATTCAAAGCTTTAGAAATAATTCTTGAAAGTACTGATTTCATTATTTCGATAGTACTTAGATAATAGAGATTAGAAGACGGCTTTCGAACCTTTAAATTATTCCTTTTGTGATGATTTTTATGTTTATCTATAAATGTTATTAAAAATGTATATAAACTATGCAAGCAATTAGATTACCATTTTGCTTCTTATGATTCATTAAAGTTTTCATAACCAGCAATCTCAATGCTGTGCTGCCTGTTACCAACGCTATATTGAATGAAATGATGTTTTTACAACAATTTCTAATCACAAGTTTTTATTAATCGAACCTGATAAGAATTCAAGTGTACCGATATCATTCACAAATACGGTTTATGAAGATAATTGGGTTATAATTGGCGATCATTAATAGCAGTGTCAAGATGAAGGGCAAAGGACGGGGTTAAATACAATGAGGTCATTGATGTGAATCAGTCAGAAGGATGAAAATAATAATGGTTGTGGTTGTTTGTATTTCTCACGTCCTTTGTCCACCACTAAGAGATCTCCCAGGTTACAGTGACCTTGGAGTACGACCTGAATTAGCTACTTCATCAAAATTTGCATCATTTGTTTTGGGAAGAGCTTCAAAGCCAGTTCACAAGCATGCGTTCATCGAGGTTAGATTCTAGCTATTTGATTTGCGATTTCTTAAGATATGAGGTTATCATTTCTTTCACAATCTGCCTTGATTATAGTGGGGAGTATGTCCAACTTTTCGAATTCAACAGATAATGAATAATTTTACAAAGAAAGTAGAATTTGTAGTATTAATTGTCAACATTTTAATTACTCTCAGCAATCACAATTGCAATTTTACAATTTTTCTTCCTCAGAATGTCGTGACTGAATGTAAGTAATTATAGGTACCTTTACCAGATGGCAAAGTATTGCAAGTCCCCAAGGGTATTTATCATTACTCGGAACGATCTCAGCATTTTGATACAGATGCAGCCATACCACAGTTAGAACGTCCTTTCCAGGCTTTTGGATCTCACAAGACGCATATTAACAACGTTAATGGAGTATATTTACCATTACCATTTGGAATGGATCCAATAAACTTACAATTTATTACTGAACAAACTAAAGGTTAGTTTGGAAAATTTTTTTCAGCTTTAAAATTGATTATAAATAGTATCAAATATTCCATGGTACTTACTTATAAAAATTTAAGGTCAAGAACATCTTAGAAGTATAAAAATTGTTATTCTTTATTATAACAGTTAACTTTAATGCATAGTCTAATTAAATGATTATCTTTTATTGGTTTGTGAATTGTTTTTTGATTTTGAAAACAACAGGTGGAAGTTTGACAAGCGATGTGAAATCAGGTATTGATGGACGTGTAAGACAAGCTCTCAATGATGTCCGAAAAAAATGCTTTAAAATGGTTGATAGAGCTTGTGAGCTAGCATTGACAAAATATTATGAAGCTCGAGCAATGCAAATCGAACAAGATGATACCACACTACAGGAGAAACTGCTTCAGATGGTTTGTGTAATAAAATCGGATCAAGTTATTCAACGTGTTGGGTGGAAAATATGGAATTATTGTAAATTATTAATGATAAAGCAGTTTTAGGGCACCGATGTAATCACTGAATTGGGCTCTAAAACGCTTGATTACAATGGTTTGGGGGTGCTGGTAGGTATGCCTGGTATTGAACCAGTATATCTAGGTGCTGGAATGGATCGCAGCGCTGATAGTCTTACAGAATTTGATATGAGTTTGCCGTATTAACTGTTCGAAACTATTTGTTGTTTATTTATGTATTGAAATAAGATGTTGAAAAATAAAAGTAATTGCAAATACAATGTCAAACATTACAGCAGTATTCGGCAAACTTATGGGTTTTTCTTACTTGCATATTAAATAATAATAATAATTGTAACTTGGGAACAAGTTCATAAATTCGTACATAATTATTGCTACGAGATAAAGAAGTAAAACAAAAGGCGATTGCTAGTGTTGCAAATTATTTTTCAGTAATTCTATTACGTGCCAGAACAATAATAGCTAAACTATAAGTCTACTTTTTTAGGATTTACAGATTTTCACGCAAGTCAATACAGGAATCTAGCAAATATTTACTACTTAAGATGAGTTGGGAAAACTTTTGATCTGCAATTTACTTCTTAAGTAAATTTAATCTATATCAATATATGTAACTGCTCTTGATATATTTTTTTGAAGTGCTGACTCAAGTATATACACAAGTAAACAGCTCATACACATATATTTACACAGCATATGTGAGCTGGTATGTTCACGTGCTGTATGCAATCATCAGTGCATAAGAAAGGAATCATTTCATTGCTGTCGACTAAATGTATAATACAATCATGCATAATTTACATTTTATATTGGAGCAGTTATGTGACGCTTAAAGGGTACACTTCTATCTTTACGAATAAATTTGAAAAGATTTTTAATTATTTGAAAAATAATAGCTAGATATTTCAGCAAATGATAATAGTTCCGAAATTAAGCGTAAAAACAAAATTTTGTTTATTATTCAAAAAGTTATCTAGCAGTATTCAAATTAGACGTATTCAAATTAGACGTATTTAAATTAGACGTATTGAGATGATGCATATGTTTTTCCTTTCAAAGGCTATAATACAGTAAGTATTAAAGAGAAGTGCTGAATTTAAGTGTATATTGAAAAAATGAACTTGTTAAGTTATCAGAGAATTTGTGTTGAAAATAAACTAAACGGGAAAGGTTGAGCAAATAATAACAAGCAAAAAAAATGAAAGTGTAAAATGTTGAAGAGGAAGAATAAATTAAGCAATACTCTTCTCTTTTGTTATACAATTTTGCTATCTATCACATTCTGAACCAAAAATAGACAAAATTTTCATTTATATTCATGTGAACATTTTGCTGCTATTTTTGTTTGCTTGCATAATAGTAGTTTGACTTTATACGTCACGAGAATCATCACACGTCTAGATCAAAGTATTATTAAAAATTCTGAGAAAAACAGTTTATATCACAAGCTTTTAGAATATAGCGAAGCTTTTATCAAAGTTTGAATTTAGAAATATTCTGAACATGTTGCTCGTTTTTATTTTTTTTTCACGTAAGTCCCCCATTTCCTAAATTACGTGAATCACATTATCAGGTGTGTTTCGACTGAGACGTGATAAAGAAGTAATTATTAAAGTTAAATTTGGGATTTTTCAAATGTAATTTACTTACATAAACTATTTAAGAAAAAAATGACAAAACCTTTGTAAAGCACTGATTGTTTCATTTTTGAATAATAAAAATTAATACGTTTTATTCGCTTTTTTTCAGTCATATACTTTTCAGAATATTTTTTCTCTCTCAAAATATTCTTTATCAAAAAAAAATTATTTTAATTCAATAAACAACAAAACAAATCCCGTGTTGACCCAAATCCAGCTTTGTTTTGATTATTTTGCTGGCACAATTAGATTGTTCATTAAGAATTCGACTGCAAGCGATATTCGATAAGAGCAACTTTTATTCATTTTTTATGATTATCAATACAGTGACACTTTCAAATAAACTGTTAGCTCACTGCACTGAAAGTTTATTTTCTAACTGTAACTGTTTAATTGCTTTTTTACAGCTTGAAAAAATCGCACGTTTCTAACGAGTTCCCAACGAATATGCAAGTGTAATGTTTGCTAGAACTGTAATTGAAACTAATATGTAATAAAAAAATAATTCATCAAGTAAAGAAAAAGTCAAATAAGATCTTTTAGCACAAAATTCGTCATTTTGAGAATTTTAGTTCCTTCCGATGCCAACCACAGTGTGTACGTTTCTTCCGAATGTTGAAAAACTGAAATTTTATTCTAATTTAATTCTTTGATGTGCTTTATTGTGAACAAAACTATTTTTTAAATCAATGAAAACTTCCACTAACAATATCTGACCTTGCATATTTGAACGAAAATCACGTCATTTATCAAGAAATTATAATACTTTGAATAACATGAATAAACTATACTGCTATTACGAGACACTGTGACTTTTTGTAACTTGCCATACTTAACTTTTAATTAAATCAAATCCTAACTTTTAAAGTAATCGCAGTATTATTTACAATATTAATGTTCCTTGTAAGATCTGCTACAGCAATGCTTTTCACCAATCTGTATCTATTTTTTTTTTCAGTAATTTAATTTTACAAACCACTTGATCCTTTTCCAATGATGACTTCGTACTTACAGTTTGGTTATTGTTTGACCAAAATACCCAAAAACCATTGTAACGCAATATCCAATACCTAATTATATAACTATTCAAAAAAAAGTATATACATGCATACGTACGCTACTTAGTTATTCTATTACTGTTTCAAAATGCTAGCAGTAATTTCTCCTTTCTAATAATTTTTTTAGGGATTGATGTTACGTTGCTCTACCATCTCCAATCCTGACTGTTGATAACTGCCTAAATTAAAAAGTCTTGAATGTCTTAGAAATTACTGCAATCTCGACCACTTTTTTCATTCATATGAGAACTATTTGCAATGACTGTGGATATAATTTAAGAGCTAATAGATCTGTTCACATATGATGGCTACAGTTGCGTAAACAAGAAAATGCACTTCATATTTTTACATTATACTTATCAGTGATTTTAAAAAAATAAAATAATAAATTTTTTTATTTCCAATCGCTTACCAAAAAGAAATAAATGTATTGGTTACTTTTATTTTGCCTTACGTGACAGAAAATTTTACTGTTATTCATTTTTCATATTAAAACGAGTTATTGAAAAGAATTGACCAGTATATTTATACGAATAAAGTAACTTTTGACTTATGTAAAATAAAGAGCCAATTGTTTATTGCAAAGTGCATTTGCTTAAGATTCAATTACTCGAATTTCAAATGATCAGTAATCAGAATTGCTTTATTTTGCAGAAGAAACAGATATTCAGCCACCTGTAATTCAATTTTAGTAAGTTTTGATTTAAATGATTTACCTACAATGATATCTAACAAATATTTAAGAATTAAAAATCATTTACTTACTAATTTTGTAAATTGATTGTAGCAGTTTTGTGAAGTAGTAACAAGTAAAAGTATCGTATAAATATATTAGCTTTGATTTACAGTTTATTGGATGGGAACTAGTCATAGCCGAGCAAATGGTCTGAATCCAAACAATCTTCAACTTCAACGACGCTGCTTTTGGTGTCATAACGGACAAAGTCTTGATGATTTCTACGAGCCTGCGACTTCTGATAAAAGCGAAATGTCAATATATAAATAAATAATTTTTTTTTCGCTATATTTTTTAATCAAATTTTCGACTGAGTTCATTTGTTTTTATAAACAATTTCATTTTTGTTGTAATAATCATTTATATTAAAAGAGAAAACAATGCAAGCAAACTTACTTCCCTCTCTTTTAATTTTTTGTTTAATTTTAGATACAAAAGGTGAAGTCTCCAGCTTACTATGAATTAACCTTAATTTTTCGATTTTCAATCAAATCTTACAAGACTTTATATCAGTGAGTTCTGAAAGTAATAACTGCGTAAAATTTTGACAAAAACAAGCGTTGTTTATTTTTAGAAGAAAAAAAATGCACTTTTTAAAAGTTTGCAGTAATTCGAGAGAAGATTCAGAAAAACGAAGCGAATGTTACAAAGATCTTCATAGGATCACGTTTGAAAACTCTCCTGAATGCCAAGCAGAAGATGATTATAAATGCGGAAATTTTTCTTGTTCATCAGCATCGATAGAATCTTCAACGCCGTTTTATTTCAAACAGCTTAATGAAAAAAATCATCTGGCAAGTTTGTGTAAATACTTATGATCAATTTACGCCATATTCAAACTTCATAAACGACACTCCCGCACGAGTTTTGTTATTTTAAGTGAACTTTCGTTGCAATTTTTAAATATAATTAATCAGTATAACTTAATTAACTTACAAATTAATATTTATTCATACATAAATATGACTGCTGTGTTAAAATTCTATGATTATTATTATTATTTTTATTTTATCAAAATTGATAAATAATGCAGTATAGGATGAGTTAATCATAACGTAATAAGAAATTTATTGAAAAACATAAATTTGATATATATCTTTTGTTAGTATAGTTTTTTAATAAGAATCTACTACACATGCTGTTACATATTTTTTCAATATAATTTTAAATCTAGTGCAAAGATTCAGTAACTATCCCTTCGTATTTCCAAGAGAAAACAGAAAATTTGCAAACAGTAACCTCAACTTTTAGATCATTCGTTGTTTCCCGTTTACAGCGCAAGATTCTCCATCATCCACGGCAAATTTCACTAACAACGAAGATACTCACGTGCAATTACGCCGTCAATCAATTAGTAATGCGCTAGAAATAGAAAATTCACCAAAAATCAACTGTTCACTCAGCACAAATGAAGTAAAAAAATGCTTAAGCACGATTTCAGCTCACGTACATGACATCATCCTATCATTTCAGCTTCTTTGCATTAAAAAAATGAAAAACTGACTAAGAAATGAGGCAGATTTGATTTGCTTATGCAAATAACTATTGCATATTCATTTTCATTATATTATCATGAAGCAACCCTAAAGCAATATTTATTTAGCCTCTTATATAAACACATTATAAAGTTTGCTCTAATATATTTCGTCTTGTAGAGAACTTCTGTTTGCATTTTGTACCAACAAACCGAATTAATTTCTTGTCATTTCTAGTCCTTTACTTTCGATTTTATACTCATTACTTGATCCAATCTGACTTATTCAAAATAATTATTGGAGTGATTGTGATGAAAACTGCCTACAATTCTCTATACATATATACCGTAAAATCAAGTGCTTAGAAAAATTATTCATATTCAGCCATCAAAGCGATCAAGCAAAAAAAGTGAAATGGCTTCTGTTACTCTTGAAATTCAGAAAAACACAATCGAGAAACTAGCTATGGTATGTCCAACTTAAACTGTCAACACGTTAAGTTCATACGCAGTTTCAGAAAAACAATTTATCTACTACTCCTTTCTGCAATTTTAATTCCAAGTTTATCTAACTTCTGATTTATAACTTTTCATGAAACACGAAATTGCAGTAATTGAAAATATGACAAAAATAATTACGAGTTTTCTAAAAAGCAAATTTCTGAGATTGAAATAAATGTTTTCATTTCCTGTATTTTTCATGTAGTGAAAGTACATAAATGAATTTCGGTTTCTCTCATTTTCCACGCATTTGATATTTTTAAACAATTCCTCATTACTGTAGTAGCTCAAATTTTTTATAAGAAACTGAGCTTTGTTATTCTCAATGATAAGTGATAATAATAGCTGATAATTAATTTTGATTCTGATATAGTCTTGGAAGCACAACTTGATTACGATAATGTTGCGACTTATTTAGATAACTGCCAATGTATGAGATCAGTCATTATTGTCGTTTAAAACTATGACTATCTATCTATATATTTAATATGATTATTTGAAGCACTCTAATATAAATACAATACAATATGCAGTTTATGTTTACAAATGAAATTAAAATACAAACAAATAATGAAAATATAATGAGGCCAGAAATGAAACAATAATATATTACGATAAATGGCTAAAAATTATTAATAAACGGTATTAAGGGACTTTTTGCCTCATAACTGGAGGGAAAATACAGAATTTATAAAAAGAGTAAACAAAGTTAGCATTCACTGATAATAGTGCGAATTATTTCTACAGAAGTCTTGAAAGTGTGAAGAGAGTAAAGTAATATTTTCAGAAAGTAAATGAGGAAAAGATAGAGACTAAATTTCTTGTCTAATGTAAGAAATGTATCAAATTGCAAGTAAATTATTCTTATCTCAAAAATAATACATAAACTTTATCATAATTATCAGGCAAAAAAATTAATAATCAGCTAAAAAAAATTGCTCCTTCCTCATTTTATACATTATAATAGGATTAATTAGTAGCAGAAAGTTTTTTAAGATGAAATAAATTGCTTATTAATTGAAAAAATTTTGTGCAAATGGCATAGATTCAATTTGCGATATGAGTACTGAAGAATTTAAAAAATTTTCCCACGATAAGATAAACATCTTGAAGGGTGTGAAAAATAATAATAGAATAAATTTTTGTATTACTTGTTATGAGAATTTATAAAAGATTGAGTTTAGGTATCAGCTGATACAATGGCATTAACAGCATTACCACTAAATTGTTGGCTAAAAGAGCGGTTGAAAAAATGGGTGCAATTGTCAGGACATGAAGGTAACTTTGTTTGTATTATCTCTCGTTCATTGCATTTTTTTGCTAATCTTTATTCTTTTCACTTACTGCTTTTATCTTTGCAAAAAAATCCTCAATCATTTCGTTATTGTGTACTAAAAATCATTTCATTCTTTGCTATTACACTTTTAGCTTCGTTTGCATTGATTTATGCTTAGGCACAATTGTTCCTGCTAGTGATAAAACATTGTGGAAAAGGCGATCCTGTGGTAATTACAATGAAGCAAATGCATATCGAGCATTAATGAATGATTCTGCTTTGCAAGCATTTGTACCAAGATATTATCGCGAAGTTGAATATAATAATGAATGTTAATATTTACATTAACATTAACATTATCAATATTTATTTTAATTATTGAATTGAAAATTTAAATTAAAAGTTGAAAATTGATGCGAAGTTTTCTCTTTCCAACAGTTTTAATTATATTTTTTTACTTTTTAAAATAGTTTTATGTATAATATAAATTGTTTAATAATGGCAGTATTTATAGCGTTTATTGAAATTGAAGATCTCACGGCAGTATTCGATAATCCTATGATAATGGACATCAAAATGGGAATTAGGTGAAATAATAACAATTTTTTAAGTTTTTTTCCACGTTATTTTTTAACTTTTTTTTATTTATTTTAACGTTAATAAATAATTTGCATAAAATTGATGTTCAGTGACAACATTTTTAAGAACATTTCTGGAATCTGAAGTTACGAATGAAATGATGCGGAATGACTTATACAAAAAAATGGTGTCAATAAATCCTCATGAACCAACAGAAGAAGAACGTGCACTGAAAGCAATCACAAAAATGCGTTATATGCAGTTTCGAGAAAAAGAAAGCTCTACTACTGCCTTGGGCTATAGAATTGAAGCTGCTAAAGTTAGCACATAATCAAATTCATCTTATTTGTAAAGTATATAGAAATACTATTGTAATGTAATAGTATAAAGTTTACTGAAGTTCCTTGTATTATTTATTTTTTGATTCTCTTAGTCTTGAACTATCATGATTTTTTCAGACGACTAAATTTTAGATGCCAGGTGGAAGCTTGCAAAAAAGTTTCAAGCAAGTAAAAACTCGTGAAGATACTGGACAGTTATTAAGGGAATTTTTCGGCAAACGAAGATTCTCAGCTGGCTTTGACATTTTGCAACGTTTGAAAAAATTGAGAGAGGCTGTGCAAAAGTCGCTTTTCTTTCGAACTCATGAGGTTAATTATTTCTTATTTTCTTCACTTCACATTTTTGTGACGGAATATTCATGGGAAGTTCTTATTTACTATGCAGTTTCCGAATTCATTTCTTTTTAAAATAATTTTTTCTTTTTCAATTGTGAAACTGCAAATAATTTGCTCTCAATTATCTTCATTATTACTGCAAATTCTATTGCAGCAATGAATCTACAAAACAAATCTTTTTATAAAATATTTGGAAAACAGTTTTTGACTTCATGGGCTTGTATTTGATTGATATTCTTCAATACTCCTGATTATTTATTTTAATACAACGTTCACATATGTTCTCAGTTTTGACGCTTTGCTTAAAGTGAATTATTTGCAGATTATCGGTAGCTCATTATTGCTGTTATACGATGCTACAGATGCAAATGTATGGATGATTGATTTTGCTAAATCTGTTCCTGTAAATATGGATACAGTCAACCATCGACGACAGTGGGTCTATGGTAATCATGAAGATGGATATTTTTTTGGACTTGATAATCTTATTGAAGTAAGGAATTCATTTCTGTTCTTTTCATATAACGTCGCAAACTGTGTTTGATTTTCATGTAGCATGGAATATTTTTTTCATGTTATAATTAATTATATTTAGCTTTACTCTTAAACTTCGTGTTGCAGGTTATGGAAGAATTAGTTTTACGGTGACTAATTTGTAATTCTGGGATTCATAGGGTTTCAACAAAGTTCTTCATCAGGGTTCTCAATTTAACGGTATGAATATCACAGAAATTTTAGCAGTTCTTTCATTTTGGCTGCATATAATAAACTGCTGTTGACTACGAGTGTCTATAAGGAGATATTTGGGATATCGGCTTAGATTTTCGTGAAGTGTTTGGCGTTTTTTCGAGCTGATTTGGCGTGCAAAATTATTTGACTTTGCCAAACTGTTTACCTCATTTAATTTGAAAGTACTTTCAATAGCGAAAAGCGTTTTTGATGCCTCTGTTGAATATTTTGCAGTAGAGCATTATGTTTCTTCATGAAACAATGTAATTTCTATTTTTTCATGATGATTCATTATATAAATCAAAATCAAAAGAAGTAACCTATTGAAATCTAGTTTTGGATCAGCTATTTTTGTTTGTATTGTTTACCAAAATTTGAGAAAAGTTGTTTAACTTTTTATTAGTGTTCTAACAGCATTACGGGTTATAACCAGCTTTTTGGGTTTTTAGTGCTGATTTTGAGATAATTTTGAAAAAGATTGAAGCTTCGCTGAATAGTTAATTTTATCACTTATAAAAACATTCCATGTATTTAAAATTTGGAACACACTCAGCCGTGATTTTTGTCATAGATTACTATATGTTCCAGTTTATTAATAGTGCTTGCCGACTATTCCATCTCTTAACCATTCTCATTCCTTTGCTTGTTTTCTATGTTCACTTTTGTTGTATTCAATATTCATTCACTTGTATTATAGTGCCTTCAGCAAACGATGCATAAGCAGTCTGAGATGTAAACACGACATTATTTTATTTAATAGAAAAGTAAGATTTTGTACCTAATAATAATTAATCTGAAATTTGCAAAGGGTTTTTTTTTTAATATTTGCGAAATTAACAAGTTTTATATGATTGACTAGTCTATTTTCTCGAGTAGTTTTTGCTAGTTTTAAGATATATTTTCACAGTATTATTTATGCTGCTTTCAAATTTTAACAAGTTAAAAAGTATTTGCTCATTGCAAGTGGGAAAATTCAGTTGCCAAATTGCATTCCTATCTCAAGTTGCTCAATGTTATAAAATTTACCTTCGTATTCTTTTATTCTGTTGGCAGTTATCTTCAAGCTTAATTTTTTAAGCTAATTATGTCTCTAAACTATTTCACTGTTGTGTTTATACACTTTACACACATTTGTTTTGTATAGATAAGACAAACTACATGAGTTTAAAAGTTATCAGTGCTCTTTGAATATCTTTTATATTTGTCGTAATTTTCTTGCTGTACTCCTTCCTCAGTGTGCTTCTTTGGGTTGTCTTATTACCATGTTTTATGAATTACGTTTGAAATTATTTTTGCATCTTTTGGGTTCAGAATAAGCAGTTTTTCTTGTAAAGGTTAAACAGTTAAAAGATTAATTTGCTGAGAACAGTTTCTGACCACAGCAAACTGTTTCTGGAATCAAAATTTTTTCCTAATTATTCTTGACATGATTCAGTGTTATCTATTCTATTGGGACTTGTAGAATTTCAGAATATCACTTCAGTAAATCATTGTTTGCATAATTCATTAATTAATGTTACTTGTTATAGCCATGCTAGAAATTTCGGAAGTATATTTACGAGGCAACAGTAATTGAAGTTAGTATTTGACAGTTTGTACTACTTTTCAGTACAAACATTGACATATGAAACTGCAGTATGTATAAAATTTCAGTAAGAAATGTAATACTTTAATATCTTGTTGGAATGTATAATTTTTTCTCATTCTTAAACTAACAAAAATTTCCATTTCTTTTTTCCGGAATATTATATAAAAATTTGAATTGAATGATTCAGGGCTCATTTGGGTTTGATATGTTTAACTTGCGTGCATTACTCTATTCATACATTGACATCATCATAAAAATTATCTGCCATGGAAATGTTTATTTTCAATCTAAGAATACAAAAAGTACAGGGAACAACTGAAAGTTGCAGATTTTGAAGTGCTTTGCTAATTTTTCATACTAATTTAATCCGAAGTTGTTTTTATCGCTATGATAATAATAAAATTGTAAATATTTGAATTCATTGCAATAAATCTCTTAAGTCTTCTGGACTGAATAATTGCTCTTGAGTTCCTATTAATATGTGAAGTGACTGACTGCTTGTGGTGGATTCATTTTCACGATGTCTAGTAATACTGATGATAGAACCTTGAATAAAATTAAAGTTTAATGTCGTAAAGTAAAAAACATGAATATTAAAGCGAAACCTTAACTCATTTTAAATCAACACAATTCTTGAGTTATATATCATACAGAAGGTTACTTAAATAGTACTTATCGATAACACTAATAAGCAGTAATCGAGAATAAGTTCAATCACATTACATTCTTCGAGTCTTAACTACTACATTAATGTTCTCTGCATAGGCATAATTTCCAATTATTATTAATTTTTTTTTGAAAAGAATTTATGATGTAGGTAGAGAATGTGAAAATTAGGTAAAAATTGTATTTGCAGTAGCTAAATTTTAAAATACTTTTTGTATTTAAGTAAAATTTGACGGATCAGCGATAGTTTAACCTATTAATGATAGAAAGGTTTAGTTCAACTTATGTAAAAAGCATAAAAATTGCATAGAATTCCAATTTTTAGGTAAAATTACAGCAAAAATTTATCATTTATTTTATGAAATGAATTAAAATATTTACAAAAGTGGTACCAAATCTAGATGTTTTGCATGTGATTGATGCTGCTACTCGCAGTAATTCACAGAACCCATAAAAAAGTCAAAAGAAATAATAAAATTAAGTGAATATACAATATGTAATCGGTGGGTGGTTGACACGCATCTTACAAATAATTCAGTTTTTGATGACTTTTATTCCGAAATTATACTTAATTACTTATTGCTCGGAGATAATAGCTGATAATTTTTCAAATAAATTTTAATATACTTGAAGTATAGGATCTACAAATGATTATATAATAATTAACTGTAATATAGTAATTTTCATTTATAAACAATTCATTGCAGTACAGTAATGTTCTTCTATTTAATAATGAAGTGATCGCACTGCAATGAATTAAAAGAAATTTACAATGTATTAAAGTATAATTAGCATTCATTAATTTCATCTCATACAAAATGAAAAAACCTAGAAGAAAATCAAACTGGCTCAAGCTGGTAAGTTTATCCACCTGCTACAGTATCGTAATTAGCACGGAATAGTCGCTTGTGTAATTGCAATTTCCATACAGCTCCAGAAATTACAATCAGTACCATAATCAATATAAATACAGAAATCAAAGTTATATTAGAATCATCTGGAATTGGTGGTTCAGTTGGTTTTTCAAAAATGAATACAGTTGTTGTTGTCTGCAAAAAAAATTCACTCATAAGTTACATTGCAATGAATGAGGATAATCAGTGATTAAAGTTGATATTATTTTTAATACTATCTATTAGTTAGCAAAATCAGTGCCATAATATGATTTATACATCAAAAATTTAATAAATTTATGAATAAACTTTCATTATTTTTAAAAATGATAAATTGTCAAAAAAGTAATCCAAAAATTTGATATTTATCAAATTATTTGAGAATTATTTGATCAAATTACATTTTAGCATCTCAGTTAAATTATTTCACATGTTACAGTCAAAGTTTTTAATCAAAAACACTTCGATAAAAATGGGATGTACAAAAAATTACAAAACTTAAAAATGCTTGACCTCTTGATCATTATCACTATCACTCTCTTGATCATCATCATTATCATTATCGTCATCATCACTTTCACTATTATTGGCATCACCCTTGACCTCTTTCTGCTCTTCATATTCATTTTCCGATTTTTCGTTGCTTTTCTCGATGCTACTTTTATCTTTTCCCTTATCTTCGTTATCATTTATCTTATCACCTTCTTCTTCAGTTTCTTCAGTTTCTTCTTTTTCAGTCTCACTCTTCTCTTTGCCTTGCTTACGATTTTGATCTAAATTATTCTTTGCTTCTGATTTATAATTATTAATCCATACAGTATACTTAATAAAGAACATTGATTCATTGCTTATATGTAATAAAATTATAAAATTTTTTGGAAACAACAAATTTCATTTTCAATTCGATAAAATTTTTATATTCAATTCCAATAAAATACTACTACTACTACTACTACTACTACTACTACTACTACTACTACTACTTATTTTTGGCTTTTTCTTCGGCTTCTCATCCACTTCTGTTTGACGTGACTTTCCTTCTGCTTCTTTTTCGATCTCATCTTCGTCTTCATCTTCATCTTCATATTCTACTTCCATTCTAGGAGCTGGTCTTCTAAATTATTCGCAATTTAATTCTATTTTTGCTTCAATTATGCTTTTTATTAAATTCAAAATTTTATTCTTTTCAATTTTTACTAATTTATAAATTGCATATTTGCCATAATTTATTATTAATTATATTGCATGCGACCAATCTATGCTAAGCAAATTATTTGCTGCAATAATTTATTTAATTTGACATTATATAAATTAAAATAATCAAATTTAATAAAATAATTTTACTTTGTTGTTCTTCTATACTTTTGTTCGTTGCCTTTTCTTCTAGGCATGACAGATTCCTGATTTTCTCGAGCTCTTT